AAAAAAAATTAAGTGGAAACTTGCAAGAGGGGCGAGAAAACGTCGAATGCAAAACCGCAAAAACGTAGGTAGAGAACCGCACTGAGCGGGTCTTCACAGTCCCAGAGAGTGGCAGAAAATTTCTAGCTAATAGAGGGCGCGAGAGTCGCACCAGCCGCATCAGCATCAGCAACATGGCGGCGGCCTAGAAGCGTTTTTTGGAAAGGTGTATAGTAAAACAGTGTGTTCGTGTGATCACTACTTTGTGAAGCAGATTAAAGACCCTTTCCCCCTCGGACTGGCGGTCACAATTACTGATCTATGGGGTCACACGTCAATCTGCACTGGCAAATATTCCAGCACATCCAGGACACTCGTCGTCTCATTTAATTGCCTGTCCAACTTCGCAGAGTCTAGATATCACACCCTAACTTTTCCAAACTTGATTTCGTGAAAACCAGTGAGTCGTGAAAACGTTATCTGAATCTGAAACTGTCTAGGAACTTGAAAACCGGACTTCGAACTTTGAAAACTTGGACTTGAAAGGATATCAAAATCTTCAAAGTTTTTTTGTTTTTTTTCGAATTTAGCGTTAAAAGCAGTGTGTCGAACCGAAAAAAATATGGGTTCGGTTACGGTTCAGGTTCAGGTAAATTTATTTTGTTCCGGTTCAGTTCCGGTTCGATTAATTCGATCCGCGAACCGGTTCGCAAACCGGTTCGGAATTTATAAATGACAAATTGCAACATCAAAATGAATTACAAATAAAACATCTGAAATCAGTACATACGAAACGGGATACATCGTAGTGTAAGGCTCAGGGATTCCTACCAGGAATGGTTTCTTTATGTGCACTCAAAGGTTACCTCACCGACGTTTACGCATTCAGACTTCATCTAATTGGGTCCGACGCAGAAGCTGTAAAATCCGCGACCTCCTTACAAACCCACTTACAAGCAGAACTCGCTAACTATCCCGCCACCTCGGCGTGTAAGCAATTGAAGGAACAGTGGGGAGAAAATACAGCTTTCTTTATTTGAACTAGCCTTCGGTAACTCAAATTAGACCCTTAAAGAAGTTTTCTTTAAACAAGATACGGAATATGAAAAACATTTCACCGAACGCAACGCCAGAAGGACGTAATAAAATAAATATTAAAATAGAAGAGTTCGCTGTCTCACAAATATGTTAGCTTCTAAGTGCCTATACGAAACCGGATACCGTAAAATCCTGAAATAGCGCCCACACTCGATAGATCGCCCACTCTGCTTTTATGTTCGAACACGTGTTTCCCTCGAATACTGATAGGTCGCCCACCTTCCAAAAATAGCGATGCCCGAAGGTTGAGAAAGGTGCCGGAGGGTAGGGGAGAAGGTTTGGAAAGCCTAGGATTCCCTTCACAAAAAGAAGAGGCCACACACAATAAGGGAGATAAGATAACGGAAGGAACCCGGAAAGCGGTCAAGGTCACTTATTGAATGACATCAGGAAAGCGTTGAAGGTCACTTAGTGGTTGTCGTCAGATCGCCCGAGAACCCCAGAAAATCTTTCGACCAGCAAACTGTGAAGACGTTTCTTGTGTATACTCGGGATGAGGTCCAGGTATACCATCCAGAAGAAAGTGGAAGTCGTGGAATGGCACCGCAAGAACGGAGCTAACGTGAGCAAGACTGCGCGCCATTTCGAAGTTGACCGGAAGCGTGTACGGGAATGGAATACGAGCTACCAAGTACTTCTACAACAATGCCATGGAACGAACAAGTTGAAGAGAGCAATAGGTAGGGGACGACCCGTTTTTAGTGAAGAAATCGACGACGCACTGATGGACTTCCTGGAGACTGAGAGATCCGCCGGTCGAGCAGTCAGCAATCGCCTGCTTCAAGAGCATGCGCGGAAACTGGCAGAACAGATGGGCCTAGGAAACTTCCAAGCGTAATGCCAGTACATAGCTAACTGGAAGAAGTGATTTAATGTGTCTATGCGGGTGGAGACCAACGAAAGTCAGAAGCTGCCTGCCGACTACGTTGAAGCAATTACGGCGTTCCGAAAGGCTGTGTCAACTCTGCGCCTGGAGCACAACTACTCGGACTACAACATAGCCAACATGGATCAGACTATGGTCCGGATGGATTGCCCTGCTGTGAGAACCAACAATGCTGTCGGCGAGTCGAGTATTCGCATCGCCAACACCGAGGGATGACGGTGGCCTTGTGCGCGACGGCAGCGGGCATCAAGCTACCTGCTTTGATCGTACTGAAGGAGCCAACCGGCCGGATTCCCCCCAGAGTACTCTTTTCTCTAAGGATTCCAGGTATGTTGTAATTAATCACCATTCAGGGTATAAATGTCGAAACAAAGCCTTAGAAATACGTAAAAATAAGGCTGACAGCATTTTTTTTATTTTTTAAATAGAGCGACTGTTCCGTCATCCATTGACAAAACGCCACAGCCCGTTTTGTTTTGTATCGCCCCATTTCCGAAAGATGGCGTAGCCGTTCTGGCCGGCGCCATCTTGAGCGCACGAGCAGTTGGCGCGTGACTTGCTGGCTTTCCGAAGCTTACTCACTTGCGCGTGCTTCGGCGCTCGGCCATAAAATCGGGCAGTTCGCATATCTTCACTCATCGGCGTAGCATGTGTAATGTGCGTTTGGGGCCCGAACTGTTATTTCATGTTATACTTGTTGTACTTGCAGCAAATGTGTGAGTTACTTCTTCCAAAAACGGTTGGATGACCTCTCCCGTCCTACTGGAGTGGACTAGGAGAGTTTGGGGCCCGAACGCCGACGACGTGAGGAGACTGCTCATACTGGACCAAGCACCCATACACAAGACAGAGGCGGCCCGAGAAGCGCTCGACGCAAAAGACACCGACGTCGTCTTGATACCGGGCGGTTGCACGTCTCATGGATGAAGCCCTTCAAGAACGCGCTGCGTGGAAATTGGGCATCGTTCTTCCGGAAAGGTTCGGTGACTCCAAAGGGCAACCTTCGCAAGCCGTCGCGTCAAGAGGTTGTGGACTTGGTGGCTCAGGCGTGGGCCTCCGTCTCCGAGGATACCGTGCGGAGTTGGTTCAAACGGTGCGGAATATCCACAAGGCTCGATGGTTCCGAGGACGGCGAGCTGAACGACTGTTTGGCCTCGGTAACCAATGAACCCGAGGATCCCGAGAGTCTCATTGACGAGGCGATTTAATCTTTGATAGCGAAAGCGATGTGTCGTTTGACGGTTTCAGCGATGAGAGCTAGGGAAACCCACGCTGCTTTGGCGCACGCGTTACTCGATTTTTGTTTGTGATTTTGGTTATTAAATACTGAAAGATCGCCCACCCCACTTTTTTTGCCAATTATCTACGGCGAAAAGGGGGGCGTTAATTCAGGATTTTACGGTACATTATTATCAAACTCCACAGCCTTTTCTTTTCTCATTCCGGCGTTCTAGAAACGTGTTATGAAAAAAGCACACAGCAGCATTTAGGGTTTACGAGATTGTAGGAAAATAAAATCCCGTGACGCGATTTTTTTTTTTTTTGCACAGTTTTCCAATTCTCTTTCTTCCGTGCAAGCCGCGACCAGCGCAATACTGGTTCCTATGTCAAGATTCATGAATGCAGCGTTTGTCAAGATTTATGGATGCAGCGTTTATATTCCTAAGACTGAGTGGAGAAGAAAAATATGTAAGCGAGGTGTGTGTCAGTTGACGGCACTTAAAAAACAAATGGCATTGATAGCACATTCATTGTCAACAGCGCGTGGCCGGACCGTTTTGACATGAGCCGGTAACCGTTATTTTTTTTCCGGTTCAGTTCCGGTTCGGGTTCATCGCGATAACAATATAACGGTTCGGGTTCGGGTTCAGTTCCGGAAAAAATACCGGTTCGGTTCCGGTTTTCGGTTCGGTTCTGGTTCGACACCCTGGTTAAAAGAGAATCGAAACCTTCGAACTTCATGCAGAAAGAAATTCGAAATCTTCGAATTTTTCGAACATTATGTCTATAAAAATTCGAAGCGTTCGAAGTTTTCGAATTTTATTTCGAAAGAATTGCGAAATTTTCGAATTTTTTGAACTTCAGATACCAAGGAATTCAAATTTTTCGAATATCTCGAATTTCAAGTTAGGAAAGTTCGAAATCTCAGAATTTATCGAACCTCAAGTAAAAAAATATTAAAAATATTCGAACCCGAAATTTTAGAAACCGTGAAAGCTTCTAACTTTTCGAATTCGAAACTCCACTGTGATCGAAAGTTGCGAATTTTTCGAATTCGAACCTCGGTCGGTACGAAAATATCGAAATTTGTCGAAATTGAACCTCAGTTCGCTTCGCTAATATCGAAACATTTCGAAATCAAACCTAGCGTGGTTTGCGACATCCCTAATTGTGAGTGGCTGTGAATGGTGTGTTAATTTGTACACCGCTCGGGCACAATATGCTACACCGGTGGTTCTCAAATAGGGGCCTGTGGCCCCTTTGGGGTCCGCAAAGACCACTCATCAGTCGAGCATTAAGAGTTGTCTCAGATTGAGAAGAAACGTTTGGGTGAGTTTTCTCGTGCACATGTCTATAACAGAAGTCTACTTTACACTAGCCCCTACTTATATCCATTTACTAAATCACTATCATAATTACCTATGCCTTCCCTCCCCTCAACACAAACAACGTACTCCGTCATCTCCGCCGACTTACAAGGGGTCCGAAAACTTCGGTGGCTGAGAACCACTGGGCTACACTCATTTGCGCGTTGCTACATTATTTCCCCGTTTTTGTAGACACGCAGAATAAATCGTTACGAGGGGTTTTTCCTCTCGCAGAATTTGCCGAGTGTTGCGGCGGTGCTTCGGTTCTTCGACGCCCGGTAATGAAACAATTTACCATAGCCTTCACCCCTAGACGGTTTGCGAATACACTTTTAGATGTGCATGCTCCGTGGACTTTGAGTCGTAAAATTTAATCTGTGTGTCTGGTCCTGGTGTGTGCTGCGCCATCTGGTTCTTGGCTGCATTGTTTCGGTTGTAATGTTTTGCAGGGCAAGCCGGGAGAGCGCCAGCCCCTCTTGGCGCTGTTCAGTCGGGAGACGCTGGACGCCGTCTTCTCGGCCGCCAGGTGGGGCCACCTTCTTTGTTCTGCTCTGGGCGGGGGGTGAAGACTGGGGCATAATGCGGACAATCCTTGCGTCACCGGTCTTGAGAGAAAGAAAGAAAGAAGGCAGACAAAATTTTAGGCTCGTTTGTTTTGCCGCGAGTCGTTGAAGTTGTTTGAGTGCTTGTCAACTTTATTTATTTTTATACGATACCCAGGTCCAGTGTTTTTCTGCAAAGTAAGCTAAAAAAGGACTAGACGCAGACCACGGAAGTGCTCCCACAACCAGCTGTGGGTGCGCCTCCGTCAGTGGAGACGTGCCACAGTTCCCTGCCATGTCATATTGGCACCTAAAGTGACAATTGCACAAAGAGTGCAAATGCAAAAATATTACTTAGCGTAATGAACGCATCCCCCAAATATGTGTCAATTTTACGGGGAAAAAAAAAATGTGTTCATTATGCGAGTAAATACGGTATTTTTTTTTAGATTATTTTTTTTTGTTGAGATACCTGTTTCTGAAAAGGTCGACTTATTTGCGGCGATATACGGTAGCCAGTGTGACCTGCCAAAGTTTGGACGCAGGAGATGGAAGCGGAAAGGATGAGGCTGTCGAAAGCACCCCAATCGAGTGGCTCAGTAAGGCTGAAAGCGCATTCAACTATATCGACACCCTTTGGAGCATGCCGTTCGATGCGCGTTTCAGGCGTAAATGGCAACAAAACATCACAACTAGTACTTTAATAAAAGTGAGTCCGTCTTGGGCTGTCGTTTTCCTGCTTTTCCTTTTAATGCGATCCTTGATGATTCAGTCCAAATTTTAAGCTCCTGCAAGGGTCGAATTGGTGCAACTTTACCGTATACCATATTTTCCGGTATATGCACCTTTGTATAAGTCGCACCCCTTGTCCTGGTTCACACAATGAATTTTTTCGTTTCCATGCATTGGTATCGCACACAATCGGCTAGTTCACACTTTCCGTTTGATGCGCAACAACTTGCTGTTTTGACTCTCGTGAAATGCCCATTGCACAGCTCTGTTTGGCGGAGCAATCGAGTGTTTCGCAGCAAATCGAGTGTTTCGCAGAACATATGTAACGTGACATAACGTAGCATAGGAAAACGGAGCTGCGCGACGGGCCTTCATTCTCTGGCGCGAATGTGCGAACCACCACTCGGTTAGCGGTAGACGTGAACGACCTCGGTTTAAGCTTGCGTCCCTGTGCAGCGATGCTGCGGCTACTGGGGCCCTGGAGGAGCGGCACTTTGTGTTCCTCAAGAAGCTGTGCCACATTGCCGCTCACCTGGGGCTGCTGCAGGCGAGCCTCTGGGTATGTCGGCATTCGTTGATGGACGCTTCCCGAGGTCTCTCGCCTTTCCCGTCTGATCTCCCGCTTGCTCCTCCCGTCTGCCAGGGCTCTGGGAAGCCGGAGCTGTTCCCGCTCTACCTGGACGCCCTGTTTGCCCTGCTCCAGCATCCGAGCCAGGTGCGTGCTTCCGCGGACCCCCGCTTCTGGGTCCGTGGTCTCTCGGTTATTGCGTGTATGGGTGCGAATGGGTTGCAGCTGCCAGACAAAGTGTTCTCCTTGGTCACGAGCGTTGCCACCAGATGGCTCTTGGACGATAGTCGTGGTTTCCCCCACTTCTCTATGGGAGACACGCTCGTTTTTAAGATTGTTTTTCGCGTGTGTCGCGTCACGTAGAACTTGCCACCTGCACTACTCACGTCGCTCACACTCAGCTTCGTAATTGACTCTAGTTTCGTGCTTCCGCAGCGGCTAGAGCAGATTTATAAATGCGTTGAAGCAAAAAGATTTCTAGCATGGCGTTCAAGTCAGCGTCCGTCGAGATCGGAGCAGATGCGCTGAATGGAACACACGCACGCGAGTTACAGCTGCAAGTGGGAAATTGCAGAAGCGATTATCACTGTAAACATGCAGCGCGCACAGTCAGTAAAACTAGGGTCGATCCCTTGGACATGTTTCGTCTGTCGGATATACAGTACAACCCACTTACAACGATACCACATATAATGATGTACCGCTTATAATGATCAGTTTCTACTCCAGATGCAATGATGATCGGTTATAACGATGGAAATCTGGGGTTTTAATCATTATCGTTATTAAGTGGGTTGCACTGTATTGATCTCAACGAACATGCCATGGTCTGTGGACCATTTCTGGGCAGTGAAAGTTCGAAAGTGGTTAGGCCTAGGAACAGTTGCGTCGCTTGAATGAAAATAATGGCAAAGTTGCGTTTTTATACGTTGGGGCTCTGGACTAGCTTGGCGAACGGCGGCCATTCTGAGTTCAGTGGTCGGATCAAGCAGGGGCCCGCCCGATCGCGACCTCCTTCTGCATTCTTGCTTTCAAACCTAGCAAACGCCCATCCCCCAGTTTTTCTCGATTATCTCCCAATTTTGAGTGGGTGCTTGCTCAGTGTTTTAGCTAAATTTCTAAACACATTTTCTTTTACCTTTTTTTTTTTTTTTACTTGAAGATGAAAATTTGGCATGATATTCTCGTAAAGCAGCAAGCCAAAGGTATTTCGTGTACTGCACCGTTTTAGCGGGGGACAGATTTTTCGCTCAGTCCTCTCTGAAAGGGGACGAGTTATCTTAGAACTAGAAATTGGGACTAAAAACTCTATCCAAACTGATCCTCTTTGCAAAAGCATTCAAGTTGCACGATATTCTACGAAAATTCTCTCTCTAGCACTTTAGCTATCTTTTTTAGGGCCCCGGTCTCAGGTTAATGGCACTATGACAAGGTTCTACCACTGATCGATTGAAATTAGCTCAGCTTGTCAGTAAGCAAATGGAAGCATGGGAAGAGCATTAGCAAGTTCAACTGTTATTTTTTATTTAAGCTCGTTGCGGCAGTACCGAGAAGCACAAAGAAAGGTGCAGCAACTATTCAAAATTCGATGCGACTGGCCAAAGTAACGATTCACTTCAAACTAAAAATGTACTATTTGCACATGCCTAAGATTATTTGGGCAGCCAGTTGCACAGAGCCGATCTGTGGAAACCTGTGTCCCTGTGCACGCAGGCAGTGAACCACATCACCCTCCCTGTGTGGTGCGCCTTCTTCAAGCACCCCGAGATCTCGGCACTGGACCCTGTCCGAAACCTTCTGCCAAAGTTCTTCAAGCTAGCCATCGAAAAGCTTGTCAGGGTAAGTGGAGGAACGGGGCAATGATTGTTTTGTTGATACACTTTCCTTACATGTGTATATAAATGTTGAAAAGGATGATATCACAAAAGCATTTTTATTTTTGCATAGTACTTTCTTTGTAACAGTAATGTAGTTTTGTCTACGGCATCCTTGGTTGTTTTGATTGCTGTATTGCTTTCTTTAATTTGAACTCCATTTAATTTGAACAAATTTTCAGTTCTTCTCGAGTTCGAATTAACGAGATTTGACTGTATCTTGTTGCAAAAGACACGAAAAAAAATTTTAAAACGAATTAAACGATTAGCAAAGAGCACCTGGTAGATGTCACTAAGGCCTTGTTTTTAATGCCGGTCTAGGAATCTTGAGAGGTAGTGAATGTAACTGTCTCGCCTTCAACCACGATGAGAGAAGAGGGGAAGGAGGAACTCCCCTCTCACTGGGACTCTCTTTTGTGTGTCCCAAATGTCGCTATTCTCCCTCTACAAGATTATAGAAGATTAACCCATCACTCAAAATTCCTACGAAAGCAGCTTTGTGGTTAGTTGTGCTGGCTTGATTGCTGGCGTGCTTCGGCCGCTTGGCTGGCTAGAACCATGGTCCGCTGGAATGGCATCGTGTCGATGTCCGCCTCGCCGCATCTTTGCTCGTCACGAGACGATCTACGTCACAATTGCGTTGGATGTCACGTGCTCTCTGCTGGCTGCTCTTCGAGCGCATACCAGAGGGGGCCGTTTACAGCGAAAAATACAGCCATCAGGCTCAAAATACAAACGTTCGATTGTCATTTACGGATATTGTGGCTCATATTCAGCCTATTTCTGAACACGACAAGTAAATTTAAGTTTCGTCAAAGTACCCCTTAAGGTAATACTATACAAAGCTTGCAAAGGTCCATGTAAAATCAATGTAAGAAAAGTGTCGCCAGCAAGGCTCGAACCTAGGTTTTTCACTGAGCTGCATGGCATAGCTGCTCTGGAAGGGTAAATAATTTCATTAAAAAGCAAGCGGTGCTGGCTAGAGTTGCACATTTTAATGAAAATAATAAAGTAAATAAAAAATAATTAAGTAAATAAAAATAATAAAGTAAATAAATAAAAATAAAATAATACTAAAAATTAATGACAAAGAAAATGGATAATAAAAGAATAAAAAATCTAGCACAAATGACACACGGGATGTGATTTGTGAGCCTTTGTCTTTGTCAGTATGATCAAACCTGGATATTTTGTTACTGACGTGGGTCAACCCCTAATTTTTAGGAACCATGCCCAGAAAAAGATGTCGATCTCTATTCTAATAAATACACCGTGTGAAGTGACTACATAACAGCGTTAGGAGCTTAGTGCTAGGTGTCTATGGTATAGTAAAGTAGCGATACGCTTGTGGTGGTGGGGCCTTTACTGCTGCTGTAGCAAAGAAATCTTGTGAATTGCCTCTGCTCGCAATGATGGGTGCATCAAAATTGTTTTTCCTGCCTTCTTTCTTCCAGTGTGGCTTCCCCTCAAAGAACGACAGCCCTGCCTGTGCCTACGCTCGCCTGGAGTTTGACGGAGATGAGGACTTTGCTCCTTTTCTCGGGAGTGAGTAGCCGCCCCTGTTTACGCCCCCGGTCTACACCCCCTGTTTATGCCCCCCGTTTATGCCCCTTCAAGCGTACACCTGCCCCTTTTTGACTCTGGCCCAAATTTAGGGCTACAGCAGACCTAAAGGTTTGCTTTCTTGCTTTTTTCTTTAATTAGAGCAGTTAACAGTACATATGGTTATTGCGCAGTGAACAAGTACATAAATTACTCGGGCCCACAGAAGCATATATAAACTGACCAGTCAAGGAGGCCGGCCTCCTTCCATACAGATTGGTAGTGATCGTTACATTCCTTGTCATTTGCAGGATTTACAAACTGGTGACGGAAACGTAGAGTGGCAGTTTTAGTTCCAACTGTGGTGACTAAGTTGTCGAAAACCGGGGGTTGGAGGAGGCTGAAAACTAGTAGTGGCTGCAAGTAATTTTATTTATTTCAAAAGTAATAAAATTACTTACTCTCATGATTATTACCTAATAAAACTAATCAAATGATTTAAAAGTAGCACAAAAAGTAATTGATTACTTGTAATGAGTATTGTACAAGTCAGTAGCCCTGAAACTGCATAGAACTATAGAGTGAGGCTTTACAGTATTAGCGAGATGAAATTTAGAAAAGGTGCCTGGAAGGCGTCTCCGGCTGGCATGTCTACCGCGTCTGAAAACGCCTCGATTTCCGCCCGATGACGTCGTAAAAGCGTCATCGCCGGTCGCGATCCCATTTAACAGCGGCGGTAGACAAGGCTGATGCCCGTTCTTCCGCGGGTCGCTCTCTTGCGTTCACGGAAGCTTCGGTAGTTTGGACGCCGTGATGACAGCGACGCTCGCCCGTGCTTTTTGCCGGCATTTCTACGACCAACAGCCAGGAAGGTGACATCCAAAAGCACGACACTCTGGCTTCCACGACGTCATTTGTTGCCACTTCTGGACTGCATGGGACTCGTGGGTGGACGCCAAACGCGCCGGTCGAAGACACCATACTCACGGTCGACCCGACTGACCGGTCATTTCAGAGTTCAGGACGGACGTGACAGAGGCGGTGCGCCTGGCCACCCTGCTCAACCCGATTGCGGGCTTCCAGACGGCGAGCCAGGGTTTGCAGACGCTGCTCGCCGCCAAGGTCGACGTGGGCGCAGGTGGGTGCAGCCTTGCGCGCGACAGAAGCATTCTCGGTTGCCCGTTCTTGACGGCCGTCGTTCCACTCTACGCGCGGTGCCAGTTGTCAAATGCGGGGAGGGGAGTTTCGGACTTCTAAAGGGAAGCCAAAGCTTCTGTTTCTGTAAGAACGGTGAAAGATCGAAGTAGGCACCTTAAAAGTTACTCACATAAGGTTGTTTTTTTTTACTTTAGTAGTGCTAGGAGCGTCCTAACTGCCTATTGCCATTTCGGCCCGGATCTGCCCGTTGCCGCTCACCAAGCGCAAGGGCGAAGAGAAAAAAACAACAAAAAAACTAGCGAAGGTGACGTTTTTGGCAGCATTGGGTGACCCTTGCTTGCCACTGTGCTGGCTCGGAGATGCCGACGGTCACGTTCCGAAGCTTTGGAGGGATGACGGGTGGCAGAAGAGCTCACGGCATGTGCCTCTTCGATTGCTCTACCTTTTTTACAAAATAGGAGCAATTGACGTGTAGTAGTGCCTCGACGTGTAGTAGTGCCCCATTTAAGCGCAATAATTGAATTCGTGGGACAAAAAGCTATACAAGTCTCCTCTTACCTTTTTTAAAGATGCTTCAGCTTTCCTTTAGTGCAGCCTCTTAGTGCTTTTGTGTCCACACTAGCATCCGGCACCTGTCTTATTTGATGCAAGCGTTTCCAGCGATCGTGGTTGAGAGCATTGTGTCTGTATCTGTGGAGTGGTGGCGCGTAATGAGATTTCTGGTGAAGGAAAAAGCTAATCCAGCTTTATTTTGAGAACATTGCGTGCACAGGAAACAAACGGCGTCAGGGTGTATGAATGGTGCTAAGAGTTTGGTGAAGGACCAGGCTGATCACCATCGCAGACATATTCGTCCAACTGCAGTGATGCAGCCTTGCTTTTTTTAGGCCAATGTGATCAGGGATCCGCAAACACGATGGCAGCAGCGCAGAGAAATGCTTTAAAGGCCGGCGACCAGACTCGAGATTCCGCAAGGCAGAAGATCCTCCTCGCATGGGGGAAGGAGAAGACAGGCTATGGTGCTAAAGTTGAAGCCTGGGCGAGTTGGTATGACATTCTTAAAAGGTTAAAACAGCGTAAAAAACGACGGACAAGATAAAGAAGGACACGGACAGAGCTCTGTCCGTGTCCTTCTTTACCTTGTCCGTCGTTTTTTGCGCTGTTTTAACCTTTTAAGGCTATGGTGGACAGGGTAGAAGGAGGGAAAGGAGGAAGCAGGGGAAAAGTGGAAAGCGCTAACTGGTCGTCGGTCTTTAAGGGAGGACCTTGCCCAAAAGGGTAAACTTTCGAGTGTTGCCAAAGTTGAAGCTTGGGCGAGTGCAGTGGTTCTCAAACTTTTTGGTCTCACGAAACCCCAGGAAGCCTCAAAAACTGCCGCGGAACACTCCTCCCCCCCCCCTCTATATTTGCCGACCGAGAAGCGACAGATGCACAATTGTAGGCAATTTTGCTTGTGTTGCTTCCCATATATCCCCACCATATCAATCGCAATGTCGGTACAAAGTGAGATGAAGGTGCTTTGCGTGTTCCTGCCACGCAGCCTGCAGCGGGGTAGAGGGACGGGGGTTGGGGGGAGGGGGGGTGGCAATTTGTGTGTTTGCGGAACCCAGGAGACCAGCTCGTGGAACCCCTGTGTTTTTCGGAACGCTGTTTGAGAACCCCTGTTCTACAACATACAATTGAAACAGCACAAAGGGCGAGGGACCAGAAGAAGAAAGACAGACACGGCGCTGACTCACAACTAAATTTTATTGATCAAAACAGTGCCATAGATGTTAGTTTGTGACTGTGCTAACATATATGGCACTGTTACTATCAATAAAAATCAGTTGTGAGTCAGCACTGTGTTTGTGTCTTTCTTCATCTGGTCCATTGTCCTTTGTTCTGTTTTAATTGTCAACTTTTGAATTTTCGGCTTAATATGAAGGAAATTTATGGTATATACTGGCAGTGCGAGGCAGAATGCAGTGCAAAGTTTCGTCTGTGTGCATGGATTGTGAAAGAAATTAGTCGTTTTTATTAGGAACAGACTGACATTGTTTAGGAAAACAATCGTCAGAAAGCTAAGGGAATACCCAACAATTTTCTTCACTAGATACGCAGCAGAATGCCTAGAGAGTACAACTGTGGAAACAAAATTTCCAAAAAAGTAGTTTGTATTAGGCTACTATCAAGCTGAAAAATCAAATAAATATTTTGCCTCTTATGTCGTTGACAAAATCTTAACGTCTTTTATAAAAGACATCCACGAAGTAAAAAAGCAATGCCACAGTTGCATTGCCCACAAAAAATTTTAGTTAGGAAAAACAATGAGTGATCTTTTCCTTTTGTCCCGCTACCAAACAATAGTTTTCCTAAAGTGAAATTTATGCCAAAAAGTGGAACGGGTAAAAACATGTTTTTTTTTAGCATCAATAAAAAGCGAAAAATAAAAAAAAAAAAAAGCTATGCAGCATAAACAAAAGAAACTTTCTGGGAATATCCTCTAAATCTTGGTGGATGTAAATATGTCATCTTTGAAGATCGACTTGTTTTGCAAAAATGTTTTCTGGGTAGTGTCCTTTTTTAATAAACTGATCTTACATGCTTGTCAGATTTTCCGTAAAAATACAAGTCGACTTGGAAGGACCTTTTTGGTGGCTTGAATGGAATATTCCTAACTGGCTGTAGGTGCAGACTTACTGAGCTCGCTTGGTTTGTTGGCATTTGTGGACTGTGGCTCCAAGTCCGGTTGTCTGCAGAGCCAGACGGCGGTTTCTGCTCCCCCAACTCCCCGTCGAGCCTTCGCTGGGATGCCCTGGTGCAGTTCATGGAGGGCGTCTTCAGCCGCATCCTCAGCTCTCCCAACCCGACGGTGAGGCCCTCCCCACATCTTCCTCGTGTCGGCCCTCTTCCTTGCCAGTTTGGTCTTGGCAGTCTGGATTGACCCCGAGACCCAGAACTTGCTGGGTTCAGTACATTCCCTCTAAGTGCTACTCTCGCGGTTTTATTCTCGTATCCTGCTAGAGTGATTCTCACTTCAACGAAATTTCACCAACAGCTGAGATAAATGCCGGACGATACGGTTTGGGGTACCGTTGCACGAGTCAGCCATCCGTGGCACTATTTCAAAAAGAGGTTTTATTTTTACGTGCATACTATATGAAATGATGTTTGTGCACGGTTGTTTTACGGGTGTTATGCATCTGTCATGCCATTGATGCATTCCCTCTTTAATTTTATCATCTTCCCTTCTGTATTCTGCATTAGGTGCGTTATGCGCCTCTCGTGCTATGGACACCTTCCCTTTTGATTTTAGGGGCAAAGCTCCTTAGGGTCTAGCCTTGTCCATCCGTCCGGCGTCCATGCTCACATCGATTGCACTGCCTCCGGGATTGGCCCACTTTTAAAAAAGGAATGTACGCCTGCACGGGGGTTCGAACTCAGGGCTGCTTGCTTACGAGGCAGACGTCTTAACCACTACGCTACACTCCAACGTTGCATGTAGCCGCTCAACGTCTATACAGGAGAGGGCGCTGCGGTCAAATGCGTATATAATCGCGTTAAACTTTGCATGCATTGGCTCAACATTTATAGACGAGAGGGCACTGCGGTCAAATGCTCAACTGCCTATATAACCATGATCCATGCCATACATTCTCTTTCTGACATGGACCGTTGACTTAAGCGGTGGAGATGCGTTCCCCCAGCTTCTAGCGGATCCAAGCTGATCCGCTAAAAGAACCACTGGCTCTGCATTTCACTGACCATAAAGCAGTAATAATGAAGTTGAAACGCAACCCAGAACTCAGCACTACCTATGAGCAATAAAAAAATCAGCACGATCAGCACTACCTATGAACAATAAAATCAGTATCATCCGCACCACCAGAGCTTCGCCCCGATCAACATCACTCACCATGTGGAGATGCGGTCATTTTTTTTATCATCTTCCTTTCTTGTGTCCTATATATTTAGTTGTGAGCCAGCACTTGTCCTGTCTGTTTTCTTCTATGGTGTCTTTCTCTTGTGCACTGTTTATCACCATGCTCATTGCATACCAACTTGCACAACTCACCACCTCGAAGTTTGCACAAAAAAATAGTGTACAAAAGTTATCTTCACTACGAATAACCTCTAGAATTCCACTTCACTTCCAAAAAGTTTTTACGAAGAAAAACTAACCTCGGTCATCTACTGTAATATCTTGAGTCATCGCCCACCCTCCTGCCGCCTGAAATTTATAAAAATAGTGGGGTGGGCCATGCCTCAATGGGTAAGCACAAAAAGTGTAGAAAAAGCAGAAAAAATAAAAAAGTAAAACTTTTTTATACACGATTTTTGGTTGGGCTAGTTTGTTTGTATTAGACATGACTAAAATAGCGCAAACTTGACAATGAACAAAAAAGGCACACATACGACAGGACTGGCGCTGTACATACTTAGCGTGGCTGCACAAAAGATATTGAACTTAAAACTCAAATTAGTTTCATTGGTTTGCAAGAAACGCTCATGGGCCGTTGCTTGCATACGTGCGATGAACACCACCGATCGGCATATAGTGTAAACAATTGTTCTGTACGCTAACCAACACCTGACCCCACCCCCCTCTGGAAATACCTGCGTTTGCCCCTGGTTCCGATTAACTTGCAACTTCCCTCCTAGGACGCCAAAAAGCAGGTGAGACTGACAGAACCACAGGAACGGCCATTGATTTTTTGAGCTATGTTCTTAGAACGAAGTTCTTGTAGAACAAACATTTTTGCCAATCCCGTGGTCTTGCTATACTGTCAAGACCGGTTATAACAAATTCAACGGGAATCGGAAACCACTTTGCTATATCCGCGATTTCGTTATGTTTATGTTTATGTTTCTTCTTATTTTCAGTGACCTACCAACAGCTTGACGCCTCCTTAGTGGTGCACTTATTCCTTCAGAAATGCTACGCTAAACAGGATAAAAGTGAAACGTTAGGAAAAAACAATAGCCTCAACACACTGTCGAAATTTACGCTTTTCATCAAATATATTGTTATGTATCAATGCACAGTATCCACTTCCGAAACCGCTCCAGTCACCTGCGGCCAGTCCCGCGTACGCTCGCTCTTTACTGCCACTTCTTCCTCTTTTCTCTCGTTCCCCTGCGCATCCGCGAGACGGGCCCGTTCGGTGCCGCGCTATCCCTCACAATCCTCCCCCCTTAGAAAGCGAAGTTCGGTCGGTCTTCGCAGAACTTCAACAGCTGGTCCACATGTGCCAGTCCTGCCAGTCTTCCAGTTTTTTGGTCCCTCAGACGATAGTCATTGGCCCCCACTTTCCCCACCACCACGAAAGGTCTCGAACGTCTTGGAGCCAGTTTTGCTGCCACTCCTTTGCTGGCATCACTGAGGGTGTGCAGGTCGCGTAGTACTGTGTCACCTATTTGGAACTCCGACTGCTGTCGGGTTCGATTGTAGTAACGCCGCTGTTGCTCTTGCGCTTTTCTTTGGTTCTCCAGAGCAAACTCATACGCGTCCTGTAGTCTAGACGTCAAATCTGCCACGAAGCCCGGCGTACCCCTGATTGGTAAAGGGAGTTGGCCGGGGTTTTGTTCCCAAGGGCAGCGGAGCTGGCGCCCATAACACAAAAGGGCAGGTGAGTACCCTGTGGTGACGCTCTCACAGGTTCGCATTGCAAAGGCGACCTCTGGGAGATGTTGATCCCAGTCACGGTGGGCACTGCAATATGCCATCAGGCACTGCTTTACTGTCGCATTATTCCGCTCCACCAGCTGTCCTGCTGGGCGGTATGGCACCGTGTGGCGGTCTCTGATGCCAAGGTGTTTCATTACCGCTTTCCACAGGTTTGACACAAAGACACGCCCATTGTTACTACAGATGCTCTTGGGGAAGCCATGTCGACAAAACACTTCCAGCATTCTTTCTAATATGGCCTTGCTGGTCGGAGCTCGAAGCGGGAATAGCTCCACAAACTTGGTAAATTTGTCGATGATCACCAGCAGGTGTTTGTGTTGGCGCTTTGAGGTAGGCAATAGTCCGATGAGGTCCACACTCAGCTCTGCCATGGGTTCCTCTGCCCAAGTGCTGTCCATCAGTCCGCCTGGCTTCTGGCGGCGAGGCTTCAGTGTCTGGCATGAATGGCAAGACCTTACATACCGAGACACATCGGATCTCGTGCCTAGCCAAAAATACCTTTCAGACACTCGTCTCAGTGTCTTGAAATAACCTAGGTGGCCACTTAGAGGGTGATCATGTGACAATTGGAGCACTGTTTGGCATAGTTGTTTGGGCATCCAAAGGAGTCTTCTTTCGCCTGCAATCTTCAGCAGCAGTCCATCATGGTCCAGTTCGCTGTCCTCAGCCATGTTCCGAATCTGGCATGCTTCTGCAGAGTCAGTCGGTAGGGTGCCGTCCTCGAGATAGCTAATCAGCTTGATGATCCCAGGGTCGTTTCGCTGTTCGTCAGCAAGCTCGGATGCACTGAGGAGGGGTGAGATGTCAGTCTCCTGGACCATCGCATTCTCCTCGAACCGGACCCGGTATTCTGTTTCCACGGTGTCAATGGGGAACCATTCGTTGTCAGTCGCTCTTGCCTCCGAGCCTAATGTAGCTGGGGCGGGGAAACGGCCCAGCGCGTCCGCTGGGATGTTGGCTTTTCCCCGTCGATGCCTGATGAGGCAATCAAATCCCTGCAGGGGCAGTGCCCATCGACGCACCCTGCTTGAAGTTTGGTCCGTGGTGAACATCCACCTAAGAGAGGTGTGGTCAGTGTGGATCTCAAACTTGGTGTGCTCCAAATATGGGCGGAATTTGTCAACAGCCCACACTACCGCCAAACACTCCCACTCTTGCGCCGTGTAGTGCCTCTCCGCTTCCTTCAGGGCTCTGCTGATAAACGACACCAGTCTCAGCCTCCCTACAGTCTCCTGTAAGAGAACTGCCGCAATGCCCCTCCCACTGGCATCCGTTTCCACCACAAATGGCCGGTTGAGATCTGGGAGTGCAACCACCACGTCATCAGCCAGCATAGACTTGAGCTTACGAAATGCCTCCTCTTGAGGGTTCCTCCAACACCACGAGACCTTCTTCTGCAGGAGGAATGACAGTGGCTGAGCCACCTCGGAGAACTTCGGCAGGAAGGTGCGGTAGTACCCCGCCAATCCTAGGAAGGCCTGAAGATCCTTGACTGTTCGTGGGGTTGGAAAGTCCCTGACGGCCGCAACCTTATCAGGATCAGGTCGGCACTCTCCCGGCGAGATGAGGTGCCCCAGGAACTTTAGTGATCGCCTGCAAGTTTGTGTCTTCTTAGGGTTGATGGTCAATCCAGCATGGGTGATCCTGCCCAAGACCTCTTCAATATGCCTCAGATGCTCTTCGAACGAACTTGAGTATACTAGCACATCGTCCAAAAAGGCCATACAAAACTTGTGCTTTATCCCCGCCAGTACTTTGTCCATGAGGTTTTGGAATGTAGCTGGTCCACCAGCCACACCAAAGGGCATCCTCTTAAACTCAAACGTACCTTGGTGGCATATAAAAGCAGTCTTGGGGACATCCTCGGGGCGAACAGGGATCTGGAGGAAGCTCTGCGACAAATCAAAGCTCGTAAACCATTGGGCTCCGCCCAGCTGTGCAAGTACCCAGTCTGTCCTGGGCATCGGGTACACCGGAACCTTGGTTTTGGCATTCAGTGGACGGTAGTCCACTGCCAGCCGGTACCCTCCAGACTTTTTTGCGACCAGGACTGGGGCACAGGACCACTGACTAGTACTTGGTTGGATCAAGTCCTGGTGCAGCAAATCTTCCAGGCAGGCATCCATGATCTGTCTTTTGTGGGAGTTGACTGGGCGAAGCCTACAGCGCGTTGGCAGAGAACT